TTGTAAAAGGAACTAACATATACTATAAAAATATGGCTTTGAAACATAATAAATACTCTCAGCTGCAAGCATCCTCTGAGTTGTTTGTCTTCTGTTAGCCAGTTCGCCGACTCCCTATTCACCTATAATCTTCTTCGAGTAATAAGGCCGAACCCAGTGACTGTGCTGGTCCGCGGCAGTCAATATGATTCCTGTGTATTCCATCTGGTGAAGTCCACGTGTATAGCCACTACTGTGTTGTTGAAAGAAGGTATCTGCAATGAATAAGTCATTGGTCTTGCAAAATTCTATCATGTGATCTACAGCATTATTTCTCTCACTGAGATCAAATTTTCCAACCACTGGTGATTCTTCTTTGTTTCCAACTTTTGCATTCCAGTCATCAGTAATATTTAATACATCAAGATGCTTACTTCTGCTTTATTGACCATGTATAGGCATTCGATTGTATGGATCATAACAAATAAGGGACAACATTGAGAAGAATGGGCATTCAAGAACACTTAATTGTGCTCATCAGGAACGTGTACATAGACCAAGAGGCTCTCATTCGAACAGAACAAGGGGATACTGCATGCTTTAAAACTGGGAAGGGAATGCATCAGGGTTGTTTCCTTTCACCATACTTATTCAACTTGTATGTTGAGCAAATAATCCGAGAAGCAGTACTATATGAAGAAAACGTGGCATCAGGATTGGAGGAGGACTCATTTAACAACCTGCGATACACAGACGACACAACTCTGCTTGCTAAAGTGAGGATGACTTGAAGCACTTACTGATGAAGACTGAAGACCACAGTCTGCAGTATGGATTACACCTCAATATAAAGAAAACAAAAATCCTCATAACTGAACCAAAAAGCAGCATCACAATAAATGGAGAAAAGACTAAAGTTGTCAAAGACTTCATATTACTTGGTTCTACAATTAACACCATTAGAAGCAGCAGTGAAAAAATCAGGCATCGTATTGCACTGGGAAAATCTGCTGCAAAAGACCTCTTTCAAGTGCTGAAGAGCAAAGATGTCTCCTTGAAGACTAAGTTATGCCTAACCCAAGCCATGGGTTGGCATATTTTCAATCACTTCATATGCATGTGAGAGCTGGACAATAAACAAGGATGACGAAAGAAGAGTCAATGCTTTTGAGTTGTGGTATTGGCAAAGAATACTCAGAGTACCATGGACTGCTAAAAGAACTAACAAATCTGTCCTAGAAGAAATGCAGCTGGAATGCTTCTTGGAAGCGAGAATGGCCAGACTTCATCTCACCTACTTTGGTCATGTTGTCAGAAGGACCATTCCTTGGAGAAGGATATCATGCTTGGTAAAGTGGAGGATCAATGAAAAAGGAGAAGCCCTCAATAAGGTGGATTAACACAGTTGCTGCAACGATGGGCTCAGGTATAGCAAAGATCATGAGGCTGGCACAGGACCAGGCACTGTTTCATTCTGCTGTACATAGGGTCACTAGGGATCAAAGATGACTCAAACGACCTAACAACAACAACAAATTGTCCTCTAATTGTGGATTGAATTGTGTCCCCCCAAAATATGTGTTGTAAATATGTGTTTGTTATATCAACAAGGTAGGATTAGTGTAGAGTGTATCATGAGTCAATCTCTTTTGAGATATAAAGAGATGAAACAAGTAAGTTAGGAGGAGAGACAACCTAGGAAGAGACATGCCAAGCCACATGTAGATCGCCCACCCAGGAGCAAAGCTCAGAGACAAGGATATTCCTCCACAGCCAACAGAGAGAGAAAGCCTTCTCTTAGAGTCATCATCCTGAATTCGAACTTCTAAGCCTTCTAACCTGTGAGAAAATAAACTTGCTTGTTAAAGCCATTCACTTGTGGTATTTCTTTTACAGCAGCACTAGATAACTAAGAACACTTCTTATATAACTTTTGTGGTACAGTGAATTACTTGGTATGGCTCTTCTAGCCATGGTTTTTGTGGTACAACAGATGACTGGGTGGAATTATACAAATAATAGGTGCTTGCAGCCTACCAAAGGGATTGGATACTATGTGAGTAATGTAAATAAGGTAATGCAAATAACACCCTTCTGAGGGTGGGACCATGCAAATAAAGTGTATAGAACTCTAACGTGGGGACTGGTTAGTTCTGTAATTCTGCTAGGCTTAAAATAACCCTCCTAGAGGCAGAGGGGGATCTCACTGGCATTAAGAAAAACAAGCTGGATGTGGAATGTAGCACATCCTTGGACCTGACCCAATGCTGGCCAAGAGATGGCTGAGACGACCACCTGAGATGACAGTAAAACCAAGTGACACTAGATAGAGTGGCAGACTTGCCAGTCCACAGAGCAAGAAAGCTGAGTACCTTTGGGAGACAGGCTGGCTGGTGGTGTAGGGCGCACCTAGAGGCAGAGCTAAAAGAGCTTTTTTAACACTTGCCTACACAGGGCAGAGGCCAGGATGAGGGCCAAAGACAGATGTGCATTTGGGCATGGCTAAGGGGAGACTATCCTAAGTGAAGAATTGTATCCTGAGAGTAGTCCTGAAACCAAATTGTAACCTGTTAACTTCCCTAATAAACCCCATAATTGTGAATATTATCTGTGAGTTCTACGTGGCCGCTGCAACAAATTATGAGTTTCTGGGAGGAATGGTTGGTGTCAGAATTGGTAAAAAGGCTGAAAGGTGGTCAGATGTCTGGCCTCATAAGAATAAGCCTTAAGATGCTGATGGTGATTCTGTTTCCTCCTCATGAAGTTGGAGGGGGTCAGAAAAGGATGCCACCCCTGCACTCTTTTTGCAACTTTACATAACTAACATTACTTATTTAGGCTTTTAAAGGAGCGCCGGTAGCACAGTGCTGAGGCATCTGACTGCTAACCAGAAGGCTGGTGGTTCAAACCCATCAGCCACACCACAGAAACAAGATTGGGCAATGTATTTCCATAAATACATTTACCACCTCACAAAGCCAATGGAGGTCGCTATGAGTTGGAATAGACTCAATGGCAATGGGTTTCGTTTAGGCTTTCAAGTAAAACAGTGATGGAATCATCAGGCAATATCTTAGTCAGTAAATAAATAACTGAAACAATATATAACATCTAGAAAATTATCAATTTTTCCTTATTGTATCTGATCATAGGAGGCTTATTACAGTAATTCCACCTGATTTTTTTTTTAAAAGCAAAGATCAAACAACAAATATACTCTTACCTTGTAAGATGGCAAGAAACACAAAATTCCTTGGCTCACAGTCTGGCACACAGATAACAAAAGAGCCCCCACTTCATCCTGGAACTCAAATGTTTCAGTGTGCTGGAAGGTAGCACAGAGATTCCGACCCCTGGGGCCTGATCCAATGGTGCCAACCCAAACCTAGAACATGAATATTTGAGAAATAGAGTTACGTCTAAACTGGGCAATTTAGTTGGGAAACTGAATTACATATGTGTCAAAAGGAAAGCAAGCAAGTTTAGAAAAAAATTATTTTTAAAATGCTGGGGTTTTTTTGTTCTCTTATCTTTAGTTAATTTTATACAGATTTAATTTATAAAAGTTTTGTTTAGGCAGATCACTGAATTCTCTTAGAACGAATCATCTTTGAGGGCAAAGAGGGTTTTACTTATCTCTTTACTCAAGAGTTGTGTAAAATTATGCATGTAACAAATTTTTTTAAATAAAAAATTATTATTTCAAGTCTATATACCATTAATAGACTCAGATATTACAAAATATGAAGAAGATTTTGATCTGCCATACAAACTTATCTAAGATTTAACAATGACAGCAATTATTCTTTTATAAGTTCACTGGTGCTCAAATATCGATGTTAACTAGTCATAGAAAATCAGATCCACCAAATTTTATAGCTATTTCCAATTCTGCTACACTAATACAGATCTAGCCATAGTCTGATTAATTTTACTAGAAGAAAGAAAAAACTTTATTAGGAATCTAAAGATAATCCAAATACGACAGATTGTTGAAAAATATAACATTTTGAATTCATTTGGAAGATTCACTAAAGCATTGATTTTTGATACAAAAATATAGGGGTTAGGGCTCCACATGCTTGTAGTGGATTTTATCATTCTAATAAGCTACCCTAGTCTCTGATAATTCACTAATAAAACTATAAATTGAGATAAGGTGAGCATTAGACTTCAAAACCACCATGTTCATAGAGCTAGCTAATAAGCTATGCTAGCCAATGTTAGAAGAAAATGTAAGCCTTATATACTTCTTTAGGTAGCTACTTATATATTTACATATATTGACTTCCATAGGATTCCGAGTGAATGTAAATAAATAAGCCATATTTGTTTTAACTACATATTGAGGAACTAACTGGCCACAAAGATCATACAAGAAGGTGACATACTCAGAGAACTGGAACATATCCTTTCCAAGTCATTTGGTAGAAGGCTCAGCATATAGCTCAGCTACATTACTGAATATACTTTCCTTGCCACCCTGTTCCTGGACACGGGAAAAGAATTTCACCATTGAAACAATATTGTAAAATTATCATAGTAAAGGAGTAAGAACAGATGTGAGATTTTCCTGAATGTACTTTTTTTTTATAGTTTTGCTTTCTGAACCATGCACATGATTTATACGTTCAAAAATTAAAATGATTCTCAGCAGAAACCATGCAAGCGAGAAGGCAATGGGATGGTATTTATAAAACCCCGAAAGAGAAAAATTTTCAACCAAGAAATATATATCTGGCAAAACTGTCCCTCAAATATGATGGCGAAATCAGGAAATTTCCAGATAAGCAGAAACTAAGGGAATTTGTTAAAACCACACCAATCTTACAAGATATGCTAAAGGGAGTCCTTTGAACAGAGAACAAAAAATACCAAATAACAACCGACCACTAATACACAACATGACATAACCCAGAAACCACAGCTATGGACATATTTACAGATATGTCCAAAGTAAAATGAGCTTACAAGATTGTAAACAGGGAACCAGAGACATCAGTGGGCAACTGAGGACAACTACAAACAAAAACGAGGGAAAAGACTGTGTAGTCACAGAACTTCTAAATGGTGAGGAAGTTAAGAGAGTTGCAAGAAAGAATGGACTGTTGTAACAAGTTCTGTACCTCACACCGTACACAAAAATGAACTGCAGATGGATAATAGACTTAAAATGTGAAACCTAAAACTATACAGTTCCTCCAGGAAAATCTAGGGGCAAATTTAAGGGCCCTAATATATGGCATAAATAGACTATACAGTAGGCAAAAGATGGAAACAACCTAGGAATGGATAACCAAACTATGGTACATACATACAATGGAATACTATGCAATGCTAAAGAATAATGTAGAATCTGCAAAACAC